AGGGGCACAGAAGACCCTACCCCTCCCAGAGGAGCTATAGGCAGTTAGTTAACATTTGCTAGGGAAGGAACAAGCATATTCCTAGGTGATGTAGCCGCTGGTATATTGCCCTGTTCAAGTAAATAACACTCACACCCACCCATACTTATCAGGGAAACTCTATTTAAATGCAGTGGACCATGGAATTAAAAGAAAAATCTCGTTTTGGCCTAATTAAAAGTACTACATGCTAATTGTAGAATATTTGGGAAATAGAGAAAATAAAAAGAGGAAATCAAAATGGAGTCACAGAGAAGCATTAATTGTTAGTGTTTGTTTCTAGCTGAGATTGTAGCACACTTAATTTAGTATCCTACTTCCTTCACTTTAACATCATACTGTGAACACCTTAAAATGATTCAGACATGCTTTTGCATTAAAGTCTTTCCTGTGGTATCAATGCAACATTGTTTTATTTAATGAAATAGCTTTATTATTTTGTTTTATTTAGTTGTTTCACATCGTTATGAATAGCACTTCATTGAACAGCTTTTCAATAAATCTATATCCACAATTCATATAATTTCCTTCAGATCAATTTTTGAGTTCAGTGGATATAAACATGTCCATATCAACCTGGTTTTGAAAGTCAGTTTTGTTTAACTCAATAGATGTGTGCTTTACTGGCTCTGGGGTTGGAAAGGAACTAAGTCAGGCCTGTTAGGAAGAACATACTTATTCTACTACTAACCATAAGGAAAAGTAAATGCTGGACAGCATAGCATACTGTCGGCTCTCCTGGCCTTAGGACTGAGCTGGTTTAACTTCGCTTGACTCGTTATAGTTGCCAAAATAACTCAATCTGGGATTCAGCAAAGGATATTACATAAAACGGTATTTGTGCTTCAATTTTTTCAAGTTTTAAAAAAAACTTTTTCTTGAAAATAGAGAGAGAAAACAGTAGGGTACCTGGAAACAAGAAAGGAACTTGTCTTGTGAAAAGCACTGAGTACTAGGTTAACCTTCAGAGGACCAGAGACCGTCTGTTCTATAGACGACCTGGTCAACTTGTTTGGCTTAATAGAACATTTGGAATTGTTCTGTTGCTGAAAATATCCTTTCTTAAAACAGCAATGCTTCTCTTATTGAGAGTTATTAAGAAAATAGCTTTTGGTTAAAAGAGATTGTTCCAAATAAATCAAGTTTTTGCCTATAAATGCCAACTTTGAAGGCTCTCTCAAATATAGCAATACTAATTTCCCTGCCTTCTTAACCAAGTTACACAGAATGTGAGGTAGCTTTCACTGACAATCCAAGGTCATTTTTAAAACCACAGTTGCTATTCACAGTTCATCTTCAGAGCCTGTTCCTATGCTGTTACTAGATTATAGCCATTTTTCCCCCACAAGAAAGTTTTTTCTTTTGCTATCAGGTTGCCCATGATTACATCCTTTTCTAAAGCCACTTTTTCTTCTCCCCTTTTCTCTGTTTTTAATCATTGGTGAAAGTTCATTAGAATTCTGTTCAAACTAGAACAAGCTCTAAATGGAGACCAGAGGAAGTGTCCCATGAGCAGGGCTTTGTGAACAGACTGAATATCTATTGAGGTTTCCCAAACTGTGATACTGCCCATGTTTTTCCAAACCCCAAAGAAATAACAATCGCACTGACTGCTGCTTTCTATAGCCACTGACAAGAATTTCTTGCTTTAACCCTTACCTTCCCACAAATTATCCAGTAACCTCTTTAAATATAAACCTGATCATCACATTGCATTCCTAAAGATTTTCCTATGGCTTCCTCATGCTGGGAATATATCCAGATTTTGACCTCATGGCCTGTATAGTCAGGCATGGCCCAGACCTGGCATCGAGCCTCACTTCCCACCTCTCTTGCTTTTTCTCATGGTGGTTTCTACCTGTCACTTGAATAGGTAATGGACTTTCAGAGGCTGGGCACCTGCCATGTCCTTCCTTGGCTGTCCTGTGCTCAACTGTCTCCCATGTTCTTCTTGCCGCTTTTCAATTTTACCTTCTCAGACAGGTTTCTAGTGAGCATACGGCTCAATCCAGCAGACCTTGTCACTCTCTCTTTAGCTGCTTTTATTTTCTTCAGTGTACTTTCAAGTACTGAAGGCGAACGTTTCTTTCTTTTACATGTGTTCATTGCCTATGATCTCTCCAAAAATATAAACTCCATGAGAGCAGGGTCTTGTTTCAGTCACAAACACATTCTAAGTACAGAAGGATGACTATTGGGGCTCATTCCATTAAAAATCTAAGAGGTAGATATCTACTGCCTATTTATGAGTGAACAGATGAATGTCAAAGAGGTTAAAGACATGTCTCCAAAGCCCACTCACTCATCATTGAAGGCAGGGAATTGGGAGCTGGGCACTAGCACATTCATTGTGCTAGCTCTGACTGATATATTAGTGGTTTAGATGTTTCACTGGTGCCACATTGATAAAACACAGCAGGGAACCTGGTTTGAAAACAAGTTGCATGGGAGAGAGAAATCAGTGTACTTTGTTTTCTAAGGGAAAACATTCATAACTGATGGCTGAGTTGAGGCTAAAGCAGAAATGCATCATATAGCTAAGTATGATCCAGTTTTTCTGAATGTGGAGCTCTGGGACTGCTGGGGAGTTAAAACAGTTGTCTCATATCAAAAACAAATCTGGCAGTGCCCAGAGAGGCAGGGACTAATAGAAGCCTCTGAGACTGTCATAGAATTTAGCCTGGAGGCCTAGCTATCTAAGCAAGGCAGAGCTCATGGAGCAATTGCTTGGGTGTCATTCAGTCATAAATCCATTGATTATCTGCCATTAGCTTGTTGTGGGTCAAGCATCCCATAAGCAAGAGACAAGAAAACTATATTTTAAAAAGGAAAGATAACATTACATGTTGTATACACTACAACATGCCAACCAGCTTCTCTTTCAAAGATGGTCTTGATTGCACTGGCAGACTGCTTCCAACATCAGCTTCATATAGCTAGGGAATAGATAGGCTTATGGTCCCCTCTCCTCAGAACAGCCGACATCCAGGGACTTGCAGGTACGTAAGTGAAAACAGACAACACTAGCTTTGGAACTTCCCTCAGATTTGGCCAATCTAAAATCTACCACCTCTTCTAGTTCTTGTTCTTTGCCCTTTCACAGGTATGGATCTCTAATATACACAACAGCCCTCAGCATCCTTAGGCTCCAAATCTGTGAATTCAACAAACCACAGACGTCTTTAAAAATTGCACCTGCTCTTGGGGTTGGAGAGAGGATTCAGAGGTTAAGCATACTGGCTGCTCTTGCAGACGATTGGGGTTCAAATCCCAGCATCCACATGGTGGCTAACAGCCATCTCTAATTCCAGTTGCAGGGGATCCAACATCCTCTTCTTTCCATCGCGGGCACTGCCCAATACAAGTGCACTTACACACATGCAGGCATAACACTCATACACGTAAAATAAAAATAAATTTAAAAATTGCACCTGTAAAGCCTTATAGTCCCACAAAACAATAGTTTCATAATTATTTACACAGCATTTACATTGTATTAGGTACTGTAAGTAATCTACATATGAGTTAAAGATTATGGCAAGATACTCATGAATGTATATAAATGCTACCCCTTTTCTAAAGGGACTTGAGTATCTGCAGAGTTTGGTATAACCACAGGAGTGGCTAGAATCAATCTCTTATTAAGAAATGA